GTGGATCGACTAAACTAAAAATATCCCTAGCAGGGAATTATGCATAGCCAAGAAGACCTTAGAAATCGGACTGAAAGGACTAATCATTTTGTTTAAAATTTCATACATGTGGAGGGTACCTTTACAAATATTTACCTCAGATTCAATACTTTAACACCCATGACATTTTCACCTTTAGTGTAATAAAACTCTCTTAGCTGACAAAAAAAAGAGAGAAATATGAATTAAACAATAAACCATTTCAGACCGGGCTTTCTTTTGCTTCCTGTGACTCTGTGCTCTAACTTCAAAATCGCTCTTGATAAGGCAGCCAAAATTACCTTTAGAGTAATGTAATCATCATTTCCAACATCTATGCATAACTTAATTGACAGATAAACGTATCTTGACGTAATTATGACCTTATAGACAAGAAGGCAAATTCCATGAAATTTTCCTCTTCAAAGCGTAAAATACTTGAATCGTAAGGCGGCTGACAAAATCAAGAAGTTGGCTAACACATAAATAATCATAATTATTAAAAACTGAATCATTGGATGATGCAATTCTAGCGTTTTTATTGGCTTAGCAATCATCGTATATGAGCCGTTATACCATGCTTTCTGTATATGGTAAGTGTACACGTCAGTGGGAAGCTAGCTAAGTTTTGTTTTCGCGAAGAATAGAATTGGGCGCGAAGAAAATCATTTTAATTCTTAGAATACTAGAAAATGCAATTTCATCGGGAAAAAACAAGCACACTAAAAAAAGCCACAAGAGTTTGCTGGAAAGTTTATCGAAAAACACATGAAAAGACATGAAACTAAAATACCCTCGACCAGCTACGAAAGAAGACAAGAATTGTTTCTTCATGTTCGCAAGGCCACTTCCCGATAGAAACTGTAGCCTGTTCATCCGACATAAAGAATATAAATCACAAGCAACTAGCTACAAATACAGGCCATGCAGCAATTCACTACAGCAATCCAGGCGTCAGTATAGCTTCTCTCATCCAGCAAAACCATCTGGCGGCTTCAAGCAACTTCATAACCGTTGCATGAGTTTCTGAATGGCGACCGAGGAAATACTTTTCCTTTTTCCTCCATTGTTCTTACTTTTGTAACTGTAGTAAAAGTCACAATTCTTTTTGTTCTCATTATCTGCGAGTTTTTTAGCCGTCCTGCTGTGTTAAATCCTAGAATCCGATGAGTTTTTAAAAGTGTTCATTGCTATACTAACTCTGCTATAATGTTTTGATTTTTCATTCATCCAGTCCGTTCCCGCATTGACAGTTTTGACTGACGTGTGACACGTGAAAAGTTGAAGTGCCTTGTCTTTTCCGGTTTGTTCTAACAAAATAAAGTCGGCCGAGGAGATTCATCGAGATTTAGTGGGCGTTATGAAACAATTATTCCACTCGTGCTTGTTGGATATGAGATGATAACCACCATCTCATGTCCAACAAGCACGAGTGGAATAATTGTTAAATAAATATTAGCAGTGATGTCACGATGACTTTATTTATCATCAAAGAACGATCTGAAACCCTGTTCTGGAACCATCCCCCAGTCTGAATAGTTCCAAAAGTAATTGTCCTCAGCACCTGTAATAGCATTTCCCAGTCCAGTGATTCCTGTCGGGGAAAGGGAGGGGGTGGTTGAAATCTTGACTATGAAAAACAAACTTAGCCTGTCGATGGCGTGAAAGGGGGTATCTTTCCCAGCGGGCTGGGACTTAATTGAAAGAGGAAGAAAAATCATAAATATTACATCAATACATTAATATTGTTTAAGCAT